TCACACCCGGCATTGCACAGGGGTTACTCCTGGCTCATGAACTCAGGAATTACTCCTGTCAGTGCATGGGGGACCGTATGGGATGCTGGGAATCGAACCCGGGTCGACCACATGCAAGGGAAACACCCTACCCGCTGTGCTATTGCTCCAGCCCCGCAACAGGTATTTCAAAGTAAGCATTAAGTATTATCATTGCATACATTATTGACCTACTACAGTTTTATCAAACCGTTCTTCTAATTGTGAGTGGATTCTACTGATTCCTTAGTCAAGAAAGTGAGGTTTTCCCCAAAGTTGATGAAATAGGACTGAGTTTTATTTATCAACATAGGTTGGAATTTCTATTTGTATGCGAAGATAAATACGATCAAAGCCTGCTAACCCAATCGTTCTTATAAGGATCTAGGAAATTATTGAGAGTACAGTTTGTTCATTAACTAAAAATATATTCTAGAGTATAAGCCTGAGTCAATCTATGAAATGAGTGAAATTTCACAAGCATGTAACTTTACATTTAATTATTAAAGTTACACTGCACTAAAGAATAGAAAAAATAAAAGCCCTCTGAATTAGAACTTCTATTTAAAATTAGATACTAGATACTATTTTAGAAAAAAAAAATAAGTACAGTGGTAACTTTGCTATTTTTATTGTTTGTTAATTTTAAATTACTTGAAACATTAGAAGAAGAGGTGTAATTACCAGTAGTTATAATTTATTTAAATAGAAGTTATGCACCTCTCTATTCAACAAAATTTCAACATCTTATATTTGTTCATATAAATGTCGACTTAATAAAGTTTTTCTGACAATATCCTCTAAATAATTGTGGCATATATAAAATATTTATACATGAATGAATGGAAAACATGGTCTCATAAAGTCACATGGAAAACACACAGATCTGATGTGTGTAGGATTCATAAATAATTTGCTTTACTCAACAATATACTATTTGGAAATAAGTAATATTTGATGAGTTGATTCAGAAGCATATTGACTATTAATGGTCATGGTAGTATATATTTTTATATTTAAAATATATCATCTACTAGGGCTAGAGCAGTAGCACAGAGGGTAGGGCGTTTGCCTTGCACGTGGCCGACCCGGGTTTGATTCCTCCATCTCTCTCAGAGAGCCTGGCAAGCTACCCGTGGCATATTCTATATGCCAAAAACAGTAACAACAAGTCTCACAATGGAGACGTTACTGGTGCCCGCTCAAGCAAATTGATGAACAAAGGGAGGACAGTGCTACAGAGCTACAGAGCATCTACTAAGTATACTTACTATCCTAGAAGTCTGGTTAATATTCATCTAATTTAAAATTTTAATCCATTTAAACATTTCTTTTTGTTAGAATTTGCTTTAGGTATTTTATGAGTTTACCCAAATAAAGTAACAAAACTTCAATTTTGATAAATAGAAAGACTAGTCTACTTATATATTCATGATTACATACGCATATATATGGACACACTGTCAAAGTTAGCATTTGAATAATTCTTGTTAGTGAATAATTCTTGTAAAGGTACACTTATTAGTGTACCTTTATTCATTACCTTTATTCACAGAAAAAGAAAATGGAGAATGGATAATGTGATTGCTGGTACTGGTTTTACTACTGTATTCTCTGATTGATGAATGGTGTTTGTGTGTACAACTAACACACACTGTGGTTTTAGTATCTTGTTATTCTGAAAGAAAAATGTTATTGATATTATTACACTATGCTTTTCTAAATCTATATTCATTTTCAAATGTTCACAATTTATAATCTAGAGTTGGCACGTGACCCATCTTCTACTGCTCCTGCTGTTCCTGGCACCTCTAAAGAGCCATACCATGATTTCCTTTGATACTGTTAGAATCTCAACGCAGAACTCACAGCCCTCTAAGTACTAATCATCTTCCACACTTACCCAAGTAAAATAACAAGCACTGTCTGCATATATCTTCAGTTATATTTTATAGCTTCTTTGTGAAGTAAAACAGAATACAGTAAAAGACATTTAAGAAGTTCATCTAAACAGGGGCTGGAGCGATAGTACAGCAGGTAGGGTGTTTGCCTTGCATGCGGCTGATCCAGGTTCAATCCAAGGCATCCCATATGGTCCTCTGAGCACCATCAGGAGTAATTCCTGTGTGCAGAGTCAGGAGTAACCCCTGAGCATCACTGGGTGTTACCCAAAAAGAGAAAATAAAAAGAAGTTCATCCAAACAGTAGTGATGATTGATGATTTATGATCTCTTTTAATAAGAGAAATGAATATTTATTTTTCTCCTAGAAGATGGTACCATTTTTTCCTCCACCTTTATTTGTCCCAAGACCTGGCTAATTGAAGTCATTTTGAAGCAGTCAGTACCTCCTAATAATACTCTTTCTAGTCAAAAGCTTCTTTTGTATTGGTTGAGTTTGTGAGTTCCCCAACTGGAATGTCTGCTTGCGTATTTGACGCAGGTAACTTTTTATTTATTTATTTATTTATTTATTTTATTTTTCAGTATTAGATTTTGCCTTCAATGTAACTACTTCGCAGAATGGAATATCTATCTTGATCAAAATAGAAGTAAAGAAAAAGGAATTCTTCCCTTGTATTCTCTTTAGTAACTACACTATTGGACTGTTTTCTTCTTGACATTTTTTTTTTTCAGATAGCAGTCATCAGTTTTCTTCTGTATTTGGCTTTATGCAACTGTTTCCATTAGAAAATCTTCTCTAAAATTACTGGTAATGAATGCATGCAGTTCGTTCTCGACATTCTCCAATTTCTAGCAAAGTCCCTAGGCTCTTTTCAATATTCCAAAAAATTATTGAATATAAAATACAAGCATAAATAAACATGCAGTGTACCAAACAGTTGAGCTAAACCCTTGCAATCTGGTGCTAAATGTTAATAAATAGATTTGAATTTAATTTAAATTTTACCATAAACTAACTTGGACCAATTGACTTTTGTTTCTGCCGTGGTTTCCACACCCATAGAACAAGAATCCAATACCTATCTATGTATTATAAAGGTTTCTGTGTGGACAAATTGAGATAGTAAATGCAAAACCTTATGACATAATAGAAGTAAAACATAATCTGTGTAAATTTTCTAAAAAAAATATGAAAACAACTTAAATACAGAAAGGACTTGAAAAAAGTTCCAGAATGCTGTATTGCAGGGAAACTAGACTACGATTACTACAGTTATTCTGCAAAACAAATTTTTGGGGTGAAAGGAATTTTTAAAAAAAATTTATTTAAAAAATTTTTTATTTAAATTTTTATTTAAAAAAAACTCACCATGAGGTACAGTTGTAGACTTACAAATTTTTGTGCTTGGGTTTCAGTTATACAATGATTGAGTACCCATCCCTCTCCACCAGTGCCCATTCCCCACCTCCAATGCTCCCAGCATCCCTCCCATGCCCCCCACCCCCCATCCCACCCTGCCTCCGTGGCAGGACATTCCCTTTTATTCTCTCTCTCCTTTTGGGTGCTGTGGTTTGCAAAAGAGGCATTGAGTGGCAATCATGTTCTGTCTCTAGTCTACTTTCAGCATGCTTCTCCCACTCCTGGGAGGATCCTCCAATACCCTTTATTTGGTGCTCCCTTCTCTACCTGAGCTACCTTTTTCCCTAGCATGGTGGCTGGCCTCCAAGCCATGGAATAAACCTCCTGGTACTTATCTCGGCTATTTTGGGGTATTAGTCTCCTATTTTGTTACTTTCTGTTAGGGGTGAAAGGAATTTAAGAAGAATTATGAAAAGCGAGGGTGGGGAGATAGTTTTGAAGCCTGCAAGTTGAAATTTTGGGTCCCTCGGTAAGAGAAGGATGGACAATGTTTAGCACCTGAAGAGTTTAACTCCTTCAACTCGAGGCAGAATAGTTCTAAGAATCTCAGCCACAGAATTTGTTGAAACAATCAGTCACGTCTGAAGAAGGAGAAAGGGAAATTTTTTAGCAACCGTCGTTGTGACTCTTTGCTGGTCTCTTCTTTGACATCTTTTCAGTCCCATCCCAGAATGCCTAATTGGTTATGCTGCCTTTCTGGAGTCGTCTCATACGCAGGGATTGAGTGCGTGTGTGCGTTGCTGTGTGTGTGGTGTGTGTGTGGGGGGTGTACATCGGAGGGAAACAAGAACTAATTCGGTCCCCCAACGATCATACATCTATTCGAAGCGCGATGCTGCACTCCAAGAGCGCCCAGAAGGCGTTTTATCTCTGTATTAATGAGCATCCTTGGGCTCCCTGAGATGTAGGTCGGGCTCTTTGGAAACACCAGCTAAACGACCCTGTGCAGTATCTCATATTTCCAGGCGGGGTGCGCTGCTGATTCCCGCACACGGGGGTGCGTCGGGCCGGCCGGGGGGGAGAGGAGACACCTGTGCCTTGGGGACGCAGGTGAGTCCCAGCTACTTTCCCCGGCTCGTTCTCAGCCCCTCCCCTGGCTCGCTCCTCATTCCCGGCTCTAGGCTCGCCCTTCCGAGTACCCTGCGCTTTTCCCCGCCGTCTCCTCCACCCCCCGCACCTCGGCCGGCGGCGGAGAGGGGCCCCCCGCGCCTGGGCCTGCCTGATCGGCGCTGGGAAGGACCTCGCACCCTGGGCGCCCTCCGCCCCGGCTGCAGCGGCTCCCTGCCAGTCAGGCGAGCCGACGGGCGGCGCGCCCCAATGAGAAGCGCCGGCTCCGCGAGGGCCCCTCCTCCCGCGGGCCGTCCACCAATGATCGCGCGGCGGAGGCGGGACCCCCAGCCTGTCCCCGCCTCCCCGGTTAAGGCAGCTGCGGCGAGTCTCCGCTCCCCGCTGGCTGGCTGGCGAGGGACGCGCCAGGGACCCGGAGCCGGAGCCGGAGCCGGACCCGGGGGTGGCAGCGGCAGCGGCGAGGCGCCCGGTGCCCGGCCGGCGGGGACACGCGCGACAGCGGAGCGGCGCGGGAGGCGGGCGCTGGCGGCGACCCCGCGCCCCGGGCGAGCGGAGCCTGCGCCTGGCGGGGACGGTCCCGGGTCCGCGCGATGGGCGAGGAGAAGTACCTGCCCGAGCTGATGGCCGAGAGGGACAGCCTGGACCCGTCCTTCGTGCACGCGTCGCGCCTGCTGGCCGAAGGTAGGGCCGCGCGAGCGCGGGGGGCGGGTGGGGGGTGCGGGGCGCCGCCGCCGCCGCCGCGGCGGACTCCGGGACGGCGCGCGCTCGGACCCGAGCCCGGGGGCCACGCGACCCGCCCAGGGTCCCCGAGGGGGACCCTCGAGTGCAAGGTGGTCTTCGCGGGGCATTGCTCTTCCCCAAGGGCAGGAGAATCAGTTTGCAAGTGAGCGGTGGGCAGCGTAGTGCTCCGAGAGCATCCCAGCGGCAGGTGAGCTTTGCCCCCCCCCCCCCGCCCGTCGCCTGGCTGCATCTGGAAGGTTTATTTTTTTGGGGGGGGAGGGGGTACCCCGTCATCTAATTATGAGAGTCGGGTTCGAGTCCTCCGCCTCTCTCTCGCCCGCGCGGCAGAGCCTGGCAAGCTCCCCGGGGCGTATCCGATCTGGCAAACACTGTAACAACAAGTCTCACAATGTGATTACAATGTTACTACAATGTTACTGGGCCCGCTCGAGCAAATCGGTGAGCTCCGCGGGGACAGTGCAGACAGTTGCAGACAGTGCTATGAAAAGTCTCCCACCGAATCTAGCTCAAACCGTGCAGGTTCGGCTGTGTGGGTGAACAGGGCTAAGGTGCTTGTAAATCTCTTTGAGATGATTTGGGTCCTCTGTGAAATGTGGTTCCCGAGTCTTCCTGACCATTGAGCAACTGTTTGACCAAGTGTGAATTTTCTTTGTGGACCTGCAGTGTTCAAGGAGGTTTCATTCTCAGAGGAGTAGCTCTAGCTTGTCTTTTGTATCGCTTCCAACCGCTGTTTTAAAACACAGATATTTCTATGTGACAGAGACATTGACATAGTATCCAAATTACTGTCTTAACATTGAAAAAAAAACGCAGTCTGATATTAACACTCGGTAGTGCCTACACATACCTTTCTAGATAACTCTAGATATTTTTGACGAATGCTTTCTCAGTAAGGAATTGTGTCGTCATCAGATTGACAACAACACACATTTGTAGTTCAGGTTGTATGAAATTACCTTCAGTAGAACTCACAGTGACAACTTCCTCTTCCCTAGCCCCTCAGCTTTGAAAAGAAATGTTTTTCTTTATGAGACTTGGTGGTGCATGAAAGAAAAATTTCTGAGCTTCCATGTATGAGCCAAACAGGCATTGGTTATTTTAATATTTTATTGGGACTATTATTCATAGGAGTCAAGTACAAGATATTTTTCATTTTTTCATTAAGGCTATAAGAGATAAAAATATTCAATGAGCAAAACAACTACTATGGTTTTCAGGGAACAAATTATTTCTGTGGAGGTTTAGAGAAGGTAAAACACAATGAAGCATACAACTTCCTTGGTTTTGACTGAAAACAAAAATTAAAGTTGCAAATTTAAGTCAATTAAGAATTAAACTATCCCTCTACTAACAATTAAATGCAACTACATAAAATAGGCATATTGAAAACTTAAAAGTTAATAAGTGCTTAAGTGTTTAAAAATGCAACTATGCCTTTTCCAATTGTTTACTTCAATACATTTTACAGACATGTCTTTATTTATCTGAAATGTTTTAAGATGAAAAAAACAAGTTACAGCTGTTAATGTTCTCTGACCTGCTAATTGAAGTTCTCTTTGGGATAGCAGTCTCTATGGTTAGTTTATCTCTGTTATAAATGAGATGGCAGGGTTAAGACCGTTGGGCTAATAAATGCATTTTAAAAGTTCTAAGTATAGTGCACAGGTAATTCGGCAGTCAGAGAACGCTGTGCACCTGGTTCCTTAACATTTCATCTTCTCAGGAACTTGATTTCTTGATACTTAAGAGCGTGTTAGATTTATCTTGTAATTTAATTTTTTCCCAGTAGGGGGAGGCATGCACTGCTTTCGTAAAGAATCTGGAGGAAAAAGCTAAATAGCAAAACATCCAAGAAACAAAGAGAGGTACCCAAATTTCAGGCAGGAGGAAAAGAGAATGAAGGAGGCAGTAACATTACCTTGGGATTATATAATGACAAATACGAATAGATATATAGGGTTAAATTAAACCTTTAATTGTACCTGGGGCTTTTCATTTGTGAGTTGCCCTTTGAAATTTCAAATACATCTTAGTGAACATTTTTCACATTATAGATTATAAATAATTTTTCAAAGGCCGTCTGCCAAGGTTTCTAGGTTTAGCTTCTGATTTCTATAGGCGAGTTTTATTGATATCTCCCCCATACCTGAAAATGTACTGATTGAAGGCAGTGGCTATAAATAAATCTGACATAGATATTCATTTGGAAGGAAGGCACACACTGAAGTACATTTCAGCCAGTACTCTGCAGACAGTCTCAAGACTGAGTGAGTAATAAAAATGATCCACATGATTCAGTTCTTTGGAATGATGTTCCGGAAGCTAATATATTTAAGGGTAGTGATATAAACCAATGAGCTTTCACAGTGATTTATTTTGCTTGTTTGATTGGTGATAAATGCAATCAATATTCAATTGTGAGACTTTGTTTTGATTTTCGGCTGTGGTGTTAAAAGAGCAACTTTGTTACTTATGTTATAGTATGTTTCATTTCTGCTCTTACTGCTGTGTGTTTTTAGTAGGGTCCTTCTGAGAAAGCTAATGGAAGTACTCAGACATTTTGTGAGTTTGGTTGTTGCTTAGAAAGGAATAATATGGTTTGAAGAGACTTTATAAAGTAGTTAATTAAAATAATTTTCTTCCTGTAATGATATTAATTACTCATTGTTATGGAAGGTGCTTTTGAATATGATAAAAAAGAAAGCAAACTGCATGATTTTTGAAGTTCCACTCAGCCTCTGAATTTCCTTTCCAGATGAAATTAGATGGGATTATTGATATCTTTGCTTCTTCTGGGAAGTGCACTAAACTCTGAACCCAGATACCTGATTTTTTTTTTCTTTTTGGATCACACCCAGCAATGCACAGAGCTTACTCCTGGCTCTGCACTCAGGAATTAATCCTGGCGGTGCTCAGGGGACCATATGGGATGCTGGGGATTGAACTCATGTTGATCGCGTGCAAGGCAAATGCCTTGCCCGCGGTTCTATTGCTACAGCTCCCGAGATATCTGAATTTTAATTCCACTTTTGCCTGAACTGAATCTTGGAAGATTCCTTCCTAGTTTCCATGTTTCTCAAATTAAGAACTTAGACTAGGTGATAGATATTTTTCTTTAAAATTCTAATTAAGTCTGGTACTACAGTTGATGTTAAGTAACCAGTATTATGCATTCACACTAACTGGTTGAATAGTTTTGAAAATTTTTTCATTCTCATAGTTTATTGATCATCGATCAACAGCGGGTAGGGCGTTCGCCTTACACGCGGCCAACATGGCCGACCCGAGTTCGATTCCTCCGCCCCTCTCGGAGAGCCCGGCAAGCTACCGAGAGTATTCGATATGCCAGACACAGTAACAACCAAGTCTCCAGTGGAGACGTTACTGGGCCCGCTCGAGCAAATCGACGATCAACGGGAGGGCCTTTACCTTACCTTATAGTTTATTGACAACTATTGTATTTATCGAACTAAAATTTAAGTTGAGACACATGCATTATTTTGGGCACTGGAATCAGATTTGTGTGCTAAAGTCGACTGAGCTATATCACCAAGGCTTAGGGATAAACATGTGCATAGAAATTTTGTCTGCAGACAAGCATGCATGTTTGTTGACAAGATATATCTTTTCAAATATTTATATCAAAAATGCTACTCATGGTTTTTTATACATGGCTGCCAGGGATTGAACTGTGGATAAGACACATGCAAGGAAAATTTCCTACCCAGAATTCTATCTCTCTGAACCGCTATTCCATACCTTTTTTTTTTTTTTTTGGTTTGGTTTGGAACAGGCTCAGCCGTGCTCCGGGCTTACTCCTGTGCTCAGGGATCACTCCTGGTGGTGCTGGAAGACTCGATGTGGAGACAGGAATCAAACCTCATCAGCTGAGTGCAAGGCAGTCGCTTTCCCCACTATATTATCTCTCAGATCCATACTTTATTCCATACTTTTAAAGAGGATCACTCTATTATCCAAATCAGCATGTTGGATTTGGTTGGTACAACTTCCTAATATATCAACGACCGGTAGATTTAGCATTGTTTTGACTTACTCATCCTAAGACAAAATCAATTATTGCCAAATATCCAAATAATTTGATCTTTTTAAAAAATTTTTTTAATTAATTAATTTATTTATTTTGCTTTTTGGGTCACACCCAGTGATGCACAGAGGTTACTCCTGGCTCTGCACTCAGGAACCACCACTGGCAGTGCTCAGGGGGACCATATGGGATGCTGGGAATCGAATCCGGGTTGGCCGCGTGCAAGGCAAATGCCCTACCCCCTGTGCTATTGCTCCAGCCCCAATTTGATCTTTCAAAACTTGAAATGTATTTAAAATTTTGCTAAAAGCTTGGCCTTTCATTTATTATGAGCCTTCACTTTTGCAGGTATAGCCGAACTTTTAAAACCATGAGGGGAACAGGGATTAATGGCTTTCACAGAGTTAACAGGCATGTTAAAATTGTAAATAATATTGACTTAAAATTTAATTTCGTATTCCTTGATTTTTTTTATGCACAGTGGTAGTGAGTTCTTAAGATTTTTGTTTGTTTTCATACCCCACTGGCAGTGCTCAGGGCTTCCAGGCTTGCCCTAGAGGGATCACTCCTTCAGGGTCTCCAGGACCAAATGGATTGAACCTGGGTTGGCCCCAGCAAGCAATGCAACGGCTTTCCTCACTCTGTTATCACTCCAACCCTACACAGTGAGTTTTGAAAGAAAGTTATTGCTAAGGTTATTAGTGCTTGGCTTTGGAAATGCAATGGTGTGCCTGTGACTTTTCATCTTTTGTTTTGGGTCTGCAGCCACCTGATTTCAGGACTTAACTTCCGGTTCTGTGATCAGGGATCACTCCAGGTGATATTCAGAGGATCACCTGGGTGTACTGAGGACTGAACCTGGATCAGCCACATGCAAGGAAAATGCCTGATCTGC